TAGCTCCATTTTTGTAAATTCAATCTGAATTTCTCGAAAATGAAGCCTCACATTCGAAGAATGGGATTATCAAAGTCAAATAGCGCTGTCAAACCTGAAAAGGAATATAAAATAGATTGATCCGGTCTTGGATTCCCGAGATTTTGCTGTAGAATAACCCAAGTTCTGAGTTCTGACAAAATTCCCTGATGTTTCACAGCACCTATCCAGCAATCCCCGCGATTACCCCTTTCCAACGTGTCGTATACGTGACGGGTTTTTCATGGTTGTTCAGAGCACTCTAGGGGTAGACGCATGCCCCGTGACAACCAAGCTTTCCAGTCAGGACCCACAGCCTACGCTGCTGGGCTGCCTATTTCTTGTGGCTCTGATTCTGACAGGAAGTTGTTCGTTCAAGGACTANTTGCCCAAAGCCCCTTTTCGACGCGTCGTATATGTGACGGGTAAAAATATGCGTATTAACACGTGCCGGATTACTGTAAGAACCGAGTGCCGGACTGAATTTTCGTTCCTGTCGTTCAAGGAACGAAGTAGATTCCCCTCTCCATCGGTTCGGCTTTAGGGTTACTCACATTGTAGGTTTCGCTAGGGTATGGGAATACCATTCACTCTCCTACCTCCTTGACTTTCATTATATGCGCGTGCACTCTGGAGGACTGCGAAATCTGTTTTGAGCTGAAGGAATATGCATGTAGTGCCAGTGTAAAATGAACTGGTAAAGCAAAAAGTGGCACTAAACAAGCTTTGAAGCAGATGCCCAGTGAGATGACGAAGGGAATGTCTTTTTAGTGGTATTCAAATTCACGTCCTCGTTCAAAGGGACCGGAAACAAGAAAATCAATTCTTATGGTTTGCTTTGAACTCCCTGGATAACCCCTTGGTCCGGCTCTAATACCCCTTTTGAACCAGTTAGTTCTCTAAATAAGAAGAGCTTTTGCGTATATATGAGGTGGCGTTCCTAGCGGACTGCATTCGAAAATGCCCCAATCTCCCGACCGCTCAGCCCCGACGCCGAATGGTTCATCTTCTTCATCCTAGAGTCAGTCCCGTAGCCTCGCAGGGTCTGCTATTCTTCTCGGTCGACCCCATTTTTGTCTATATATGGCATCTTGTGCGTATCAACTACGGCGAGGTCCTCCTCAATCACGACCTACCACCTTGTCTTCGGTGCTCCTCGTGGTTGCTTCAATCGAGCCTTAGTTTCATTGCCTCCATCACGGGATGATTTTGAGGCTTTCTCCTTCGCAGACGCTGCTTTCTCGTCTTAAGCTAGCCAGGGGCAGTTTACATGGCCACCCTGGGTTTCGTTTCCGACACGATTCAGACTCATCCAACTGCAGGAATATGTAACTGTGCACCGTCACTTCAGCTGAACACAGTTGTCTTGCTGATTTTTATCTACGATCTGCACTTGCTGCAGGAGAGCTCACGGTCCCGGTACTAATCCCTTTGTCGCCCTTTGAGACAGGTGCTTCTTTTCAGCTGCCCTAATAGACGCGCTTTAAGAACTCTTCAGTTCGACTCCTATATTGTAAGGCCGAGTTATCATGAGGAGGGAAGTTGGCAACTCGTGAATTTCCTTTTCTCCATGAGGGACGTGGTGTAACACCAAGTGGCGCACTATCACAAATGCATGGTTAGTGGATCAAATCCCGAATCAACACCCGTCCAGGCGAGGCTTCCATCCCTCCGGGGTCGATTACCTGATTCCATACTTATTCGAGAAGATAAGGGCACTGACTTGTACATCACTCTAAAGAGGCTTCAACATATTCATTGTGACCCCTCCATCCCTATCGGGAAGCGATATCAGTAAGTGGGAAACAGGAAATACGAAGAGAACGCAGTTTGCTGTTTTCAAAAATCTTCATTCTCGGCGTCTGTGCAGTAAGTCCCAAATTAATTCAATGACAACTGCTTTATGCAAAACAGAGGCTTCAGACCAAACCAAATGTAAATTGGTTGAAAAAAAGAGTAAGTTGTGCCACGGATTTGAAAGATGCCAAATTGCCGACGCGACTTCTCGTAACATTCGTGAATGCAACTTGTAGCAACATCAAAGCAACAACATTTGCCCTACAAAATGCCCCATTACCTCAACAAATGGCCTTTTTATAGCTTGTTTAATAGGATTTTAGCGAGTTTAGTTATAGTACTTTTGACAAAACAGTCTGTGAACAAGCTAGTAATACTCTGTTGATGATATTGAAAACGGAAGGTCTGCTTCAGCTCCAGTAGATAAAATAAAATTGAAAAATCGTGTATAAGTTCTGTCCATTTTCATTCCATCTTTATTTTCCTTTTGAGCAAACTAAACATCCCATTCTAAATGGGATGTTTAGTTTGCTCAAAAGGAAAATGAAGATTTAACGAAAATGAATTGAAGGTGTTCAACTACTTTCCTCTATGTAAATCCGTGGAGTTGTTCCTAGTTTAAAGGCACAGTTCACGATAATTTTGGATGATCCAGATTATGATGAAAAATGGAAGACAAGATCGAAAATAGTGCGATGAAGGTGAAGAAACTGTGTGAATAGGTGTTCCCAAAGTGAAAGAAGGCTTCGAAAAAATCGTTAAAAAGGGGGCTGGACGAGAATGAAATCAGAAATATGAAGAAGAGTGAGGCGTCCGGACGAGCTAAACAGTGTGTTTCACTGCGCGCGTGTGGGTCCTGGTACGAATAACAGACTATGGTAAGCAAGAATTCATTCACCTATAAGCATAAGTAAACAAAAAAGAACCCTAGCAACAGCAGAAGTAGCTCGCCTTTTTCCGCCTCCTAGGGTAGGATATTGAAAAAGGGATCGCGGCAGCAAAAAGAATAACAGAGGAAGAAAGAATGGGAGAAAAACATCGCCTCATTACTCGGCGACCAGCCGATTGTGTGTGGGTCCTAGAGCGAATAATAGCAATCTGTATTGTCTCGACACTCGTTTATGTGAGATCAATCGAGGGGCGTTAAAGCCAATTACGGCAGCAACAATGCTTCCACTATGCCCTATGCGCCAAGTATGTGGGAGCGAGAGGGTCCCTTCTACAGCCCATGCTGAGTATTCCTAAAGGAAGAACTCAGTAACCTTTTTTCATCGTGAACTGTGCCTTTAAACTGTTTGATTGATCGGAACGGCCATGGTCAGAGGTACAGTTCCCATTAGGAACGGTTTCTGAGATTTCTCCCTTGGCTGAAAATGTGACCTACTTGGATAGCCTAAGGAACGATGTCGCGTTCAAAAACGGCCGGGATAGGGCGTTATAAGGTCTCAGTATCGGCAAAGACGACGAACACACTCAAGGCGGACGAGTTATCAGACGTTGAAAAGCTGTAGAGGTTGAACCATTCGCACCGGGACGCACACTTTGCATGCAGGCAGCGTATTGTAGCCAGCTGCATTCAGTTGTGCGCACAATTGAACGGCCTTTTTCGTGCAAATTTTGTCGTCACATTCTCGTCAAACCCCTTCATTTTACTTCTTTTTTCTTTGAAGCCCTACAATTCTCTGAATACGGCGATTTCCGCATTTTCTTCGCCCTTTTCCACTATTCTTAACTATTATCTCGTCCAAAGTTAGATACCCCCAAATTATTGTGAACTGTAGCTTTGATTGTTTGCCAACTAGATGCTACTTAGTTAGAACTAATAGGTGATGGGGAGTGGGTGTCGATTTTCTCTTGCAGTGGTGCATTGGCCTCTGAAGAAGACCATCTGGTTGGAACATCAGGCCTGTATTGAACTTTTTCACCGACAGATTCCACTTGCATAGCAAAACAAAAATATTGAGAGTTTGATTTCTTTCAATGATGATAGGACCTGTCCAAAAATGAGCCTACGCGTAAAACCTTCTTTCAAATTGAAGTGACACTTAAGTGCGTGTTTTGTCTGTACCATATTTTGCAGGGCTTACTAATGTAAAAATAGGTTTTTCATCTCCTAGGTAGGTCTGCTACCAATCAAACAGCCTTGGACAAGTGCCAAGGGGTTTGCTTCGAGTAGGAATCCGTTTGTTTGACCACCGAGCTGTTATGTCATGTTATGTTTATTACGTTGCTAAGGCAAACGTAGTATATAAGGATCACAACCTTCTGGAAACAACTCAAATAACGGAATAAATGGAAGGGACCCATGTAAATAGAGAACACGTAAAATAAGGTAACAGTGCAATTTCAAGGTTAGATATAAAACAAAGGCATAGAAGAAGTGGTCAACCGCAAGGAACTATGAAAGCTCATACCTAGATAAAATAGCTACCACAGTACTTTTGAACTTAGACAAGGAGTCCGGAGTGCTCATGTTTTTTGTTATCTTTTTGTAGAGGCTAGCCGCTCTAAATGTGAAACTTTTGGCTCTTACACTGGTTCTGGGCCTAAGAAGATTTATTTTAGTCTGACCGCCTCTAGTTCGAGATTGAGTCGTTTGATAAAGATCAAAGGAACCGAATATATTACTTCGGTACAGTATCTTGTATACAATACATACGTCAAATACCTTGCGCCGTGATTCCAAAGCAGAGATTCAAAGTATTTGTTGCGAATAGATGCTTTAGGAATCCTAGAATAGAAAGAACTCCTACGTCGGCAAAGGTTTTACGCGAAAAATTGTTTTGCACCTTCTCAAGTGCTTCAACATCCCTTCTCCTAGAAGGGTTGAACACAGCAGCACCACTCTCGATCAAAGGTCGAACGTACGTTTTATAAGCTTTAGGAGGGATGGACTTATTAGTGGAGGACAACCCTTTGAAGATTTGCAATGTACGCAGTGAGGCCAGGGCACATCGGGTTCTGATATGTTCTGAAAAGTAGTGAGAAGCTGTAGGCCCTTAGATCCTGGATTTGCTCCAGTCCACCTCAAGCGATCCCTGGCTCCACTTGGCACCACTCCCTGGCCCTTCCATTTTCGCTCACTGGGGGAGGGACGTCGGTCTAATAATTGAAGTCTAAAATGAAAATAAAGGTATTGAGCAAGAAGGCTACGGTATAGTTCTGGGATTTGCTTTCAGGCGACTATGAACGTCATACAACGCCGTTGTTCAGGACTAGAAGTCGCTATACATAGGCATTCATTAGAAGCAACCCCTATGGCCGCTTTGAGCCGAGCAATTGCCGGCATCAATGGTTCCACGGTAATTGTAAATTTCCCGGGAAGTGTGAAAGCTGTCAAGGTAACTCTGTAGGCATTTACCCAATAGCGGTAGATTTGTCATTCATCTTTTTGGGTTCAGGAGTGCTGGGTTGTCGTGGAGCCAATTCTACACCATGCCGTCGATCTTCTAAGCCATTGTGACGATGGGAGCTTGCATGCGGCTATGGCCAAAGAAGCTGAATCAGCAGCTGGAGACAAGGGGCAGACAGCACCCTGAACGCTTCTGGATGATGCTTCTAAATGTATTATATTATAGTTTTAATCATCACTATGCAATTTCGAGGCTCACAGATGTTCGTGTTCGACTTGCACTTTGTGGTGTGATAATATCAGAGTTTACTTAAGTATTGAGCTTTTGTTATGATGTTAATTCGTGCTTTTAAAGTGGTGCAATAAATGATCAAAGACAATAACGGACAGAGCGCGACAGAGGGCCAGAATCCATAAGAAGGCGGTGGCCGTATCCTTGGATTCGCAGAACGTGACGATTTGATGCACCTTCCTTGGTCGGTGCGCCAAGCCGGCAGTGCTGATGTAAAATATCGTTCATTGATGGCGAAGAAAACGACAAAAACCGCAAAAATCTCGGACATCCAGATCCGCATGAAGCCTTTTTAATTGACCAGATTGGACGAGATTACGGCGATAAAGTGGATGTCTGGACGAGTTCTCTCCAGGAGGCAGCGCCACGTTTATTAGCTACTAGCTGGAATGAGCTGACGCATCCACGACAAACGTGCTCCATTTTGAATTACACCAGCCACGTTGAAGGGTTAATGCGACCCTTTCTCGAGCTGTTGATCTGTAGTGGGCGTCGGAACAAGCAAATGAGACACTATTGCATAGGAAATACAATATAAAAATATATACAAATAGGAAATACATAGGAATACAAATACATATACCGGGAAGAAACCATCAGAACCATTTTGATCTGAACTATGCTTTTACCTTTATTTTCTGAATTCTAAATGGGATTAGGTGCACAAACAAATGAGTTTACAAGACCTCTCACGTCTCGTGGGCTCGTCAGAATGGGAGGCTCGGTTGTTCTAAGAAGGTATAGGTCCAGGTTTGGACTGACTGGCCTTATGGGTGTGCGCGCCACTCGACACCACTCCAGCTACGTCCTACCAAGTCTTCGCTCTTCACCTTCCCTTCCCACACGCGAAGCTTGAATGGTTTTTGACTCGTTCCAGGGAGATTCGTCTTTAAGAAACAGAGATTTCAATGACACAGTTGGTAGAAAGGGTTCTGAAATTTACTCCTAAAAGGAACCTGTGTCTCTAGAGGATAGAACGATGAACATCTCCGGGTAACCGGTGGCGACAGGCGTTGTAAAAGCTCCAAAGTTAGCTTGGCTGACGTACACCCCAAAAATGGCCATTACGTGGGTGGTTCAGACGGTTACCCACACACAATCTCTTACAACCCCCTTTTTCACTACTTTTTTGAAGCCTCATACTTCTTTTAGTCCACCGATTTTCGTGCTTTCTGCGCAGTTTTTTCACTATTCTGCAGTGTACACTAGCTGGGGGTTCGGAACAAAATCATGGCACTCGTCTGTGGCTCATTACAAGGGTTTTTTTACAACTGGGAACAACGTTTTTCATAAACACGTCGTTTTTACACACTAGGACGTACTCAGCAAATTACAATGATGAGTCAACAGGAAACCGCGGTGAGACTGATTAATTGCATTGTCTCCCGTGCCCTGGTACATCTATCTACCGATGACTGGAGGGGAACACTTTAGTTGTCCTATAATTCGTGGCCCGAAGGAACAATGGCGTCATTAGCAGGATCTACGCATCTGGACACTTCTTCCTACCAATTGGGTTGACAGCATAACTGCCGTCGAGCGGTTAGAATAGAGAAAAATGCCAACTTTTCTTTTCTTCAACGATAATAGTCACCAGCGGCAACCCCTTGTGAGCTAAGGGGTCCAGGCTTTTCTACTCGGACATCGGTATCAGATGACAAAGGAGGAAACTGCTCAGCGGTGACTTCTTTCATACGATCGGTAGAAAGATCGGTTCCCAGATCGAGAACATCAATACCCTCACTGGATAGGTACAGCGCACTCTAAGCTCCACTACGATTCTGCATAGCAGTCGAATGACCGAGTGGACCTCAGAATGGGATTGATCAACACATGAAACTCAAAAGTTCCGAGGAAGACGATACATGGTGCTATTGCGGAAAGTATTCAAATAGGGGCTCAGTCGAGGTCCGAAATCTAAGCTCCTGTTGGTATCGAGATGGGGAAGAGACAACAACCTTGAAGTAATTGAAGTCAACAGAGGCTCAAAAGGAGCCTTCGAGATGGGGACGCGATAGATTTGAAGTACTTGAAGTAGCAGAGCCCCAGAATAGATCTTCGAATTCGATGTGGAATCAGCAGAATCCTTTTGGCCATCGCTTCTCCCTTCTCCTACAAATCAACAGCTAAAGTCAGCAGCGAAAATATGAAGCATGTTTTCCGAAATACAAAGGATTCTTCCGTTTTTTCTTCTCTGATGAACAGCTGGATAATCCGGATTCTTCAGATTGTCGACGGACTTCTTCCCTTTCTTGATTTCTGATGAACAACTGACCATTCTCCTTTTTCTTCCCTATCTTATACACCAAATCATAAGGAGCAATGGAGAAAACGCGATCCTCTTACAGCTGATGCTTTCCTTTCCCGGTTGTCTAGTAAGTTAAAATACCGTTTGAGTTTCCAACCCGTTACCCCACATCACCCTATATCTCCTTGAAGAGGTGGAACACATTGAAGAGGACAAAAACGTTATATTCCTAAGCTTCTTGAGGCCTACACGACCAAATATAGAAGTATTCTAGTTTTAAGTAGCTCTAAATTTACTGACCGTGACGATGCAGCCATTTGAACGAATACACTGTGATCAAGCAAATGTTTTCCGCCCGAGGCAAAGGACACAGGTCTGGACATTGGTGTAAATTGAGGGTCACCTGCGCCCAGTTGTTTTCGCCCTCCCTTTTCGCTCCGCGAGTTTTCATTGTACATATCAAAACCACAAGGTGAGGTTCTTATACTAGCACTTCACTTCTTTAGTCTATCAATTTGATAAAATTACCCTGTGATCAGCTGCTCTCATTTTTCAAATTTTGGACTTGAAAATTCTTTCAGAGTTTTCTTACTGGAGAATTACTCCTTTCAACTGGCACTGATCCTTGAAGAGCGAGCATCTTCAGAGGCTCTAGAAGTCCGACATCGTTTGGATTTTTTGGAGGATTCACATCTGTGCTATCTCAACCATCGGACAGGGTCCGGACAATTCCATTCCGAACATCGAGCAATGTATAGACCCCCGGAGGACATCCAAGAACTGAGGGCGAAGTGGGTTTCTCAAATGACGTTGGTTGTGAAGTTCGATCGAGTGTTTTTGGTTGTTTTCGGTTCATTTTACTCTCCGAATTCCGAAATGGTTGTTGATTATGCCTTGCACTTTTATATTCTTCACTTATATTCTTATATACTTTTATTATCCATTTCACCGGAGGCGGAGGTGGGGCAGTGGCAAGGCAGCACCATCAAACGCGCAAGGTCACGGGTTCGAATCCCGAATCGATATCCGCCTGGGCCAACAAAGCCTCCCATCGCTTCGGGGTCGATTAATTCGTAACAAACCCGTCTTGGAGGATAAAAGCACTGACTTGTACGTCGGTTGGATCATTCTTTGTATAGGCCACATACGCATTCAATAGTACTGCGATTCTGAATGAGAGTCGACTGCGAGGCGCATCCATGAGACGGGATTAATTAACTCTCGAGAACGTGATCCTTATTCCTTGATCCCTTACTTAATTATTTATCTGAGCGTTTTGAATCAGGCTAAAGGTAGGATCTTACCACCAAAATATGCCTACTTTTCTATTCACGCCAGAATTCATGGTTCAATCGTAGTCAAAGGAGAACAGATGGACTCGCTTCTGTTTTGGTTTTTTCTGCTTCCTCTACAAAACTCTCATGTCGCTCTCATAAAGTTCTTTTGACAAGCAGAAGTAGCAGTAGCAAGCCCCAGTTCTCGAGTCAAGCGTTTCCATTCAATAGTATGAAAAAGAGGGGAATAGTGTAACATCAAGATGTCTGTCGAAAGGTTCTCTGTGAAGAAAGTAGGGAAGCAGGGCGATAAATTGCTGGCTAATGTCGGCCATAATCAAAAAAGAGGAATGATGACCCTTTTCTTTGTTTACAAGTTGGTCGTAGAGGCGCAGTTGTTCAACAAGGTTACACGACAGAATGTTTTTATGGATTGGTTGAGAAATAGTGGATATTCCACTGGGAAGACTTTCCATCTCCTAAGCTGCAAAAGATAAAGCGCAAATTTTTTGAACGAGCTCGTTTCCGGGATGGGCTCCAATATTCGACTTCTGTTGAGAATGGCTGCGCCCTGCAGTCGACTCCCATTCAGAATCGCAGTGGCGTATTGAATGCGTATTTGGTCTATACAATGAGTCGCGGTGACCAGCCGATGTACAAATTTTTGCTTTTGTCCTCTTAGGTGATTTTGGAATGAGGGTCTGGTCAGCTGCGCGGGTATCGATTCGGGATTCAATCCTCGGGCCATGTTCGTGATAGTGTGCCTTTTGCCGCTAAACCATCAACCATCATTACCAATTTTTAACCCCCTTCGCTTTACTAGACAAACATCCTATTAGTTGCAATATAAAATCCAAAAAATTCCACCTTTCCGACTGTTCTACTTAGAACCTCAGTATCGTCTGAAGGTATATTTAGCTTGTGATGGAATTTGAGAGACGATGGACAGGTTGCTACTTTCACCTTCCTTGGAGGAGACTAAAAGCAATCAACCTTTCCAAAAGGATAGAAGGCTTGATCCCATCTCAGCACCGTGCGTGTGCCAGTGCGTGTCGTGTGCCTCCTATTACACATCCAAACAGCTTAGACAAGGTGCACGCAGGTAGAGAGGATCAGGTGCACTGATATGAGACAGAGCAATCCTTGATTTTAGTTACGTGTAAAAGATAAAGACTTGAGCGATAATCGTCTCGTTTTGGGATATGCCCCACACACGGCGAATTAGAGGAGTCGAAGGCTTTTTTGGAACCTTCACATTCCGAAAAAATGTCCAAATCAACAGTTACTATAGAGTAATCGACCATCAGAGAAGTGACTGCAAGGACGCTACGCTTCCTCGGCTTTCTCGATTTTTGTGCCAGGGGAACGTACGCTATGTCACCCTTCTGAAATATGATGCTCACCGTTGAGCTCAGAACAAAACTTTGACGAGTTTATTTTCCAGTTTTACTGCAAAACATCCTCAAACCATAGGCCATAACATGAGAGAGAGAAAAGTTATGCGAAGGTTTCGAATGTCGCTTTCGACGGATCTTTTTTCGCCAGCCCATGATGTCACCTATCCATCATACTTTGTCACTACTAAACGTGCAGCTATAAACAATGATTATGTCATCAAGAAATAGGTAAACAAATGTCAGTTCTTTGTAAATAGATAAATAAATGACCCAAAATGAAATTCCACTAATATTTTTGATTAGCTGCAATTTGTTGTTGTCAAAAAAATCGAAGAGGCTCATGATTCTGGTTCATTGAAATCCCACCTAGGTGGCAGTCGATGTGGTGGATGAAATTTTTTTTCACTAGTAGCTGAACGAGGTCAGAGTAATGTAAGAACTGGTAAATTTCAGAGGTCTACCATGGTTAGTAGCCACTTGTTTGGTGGTAATTCTTGTTCTTGCCGGAATTCTATTCTACTATGTATCGGCTGAGACTATAGCAGAAACACTCTATGCTACTCCTACTACTGCCTTTCTCAACTATCGGGTACGTTTTGTTCCATTTTGCTGCCGATTAGAGCGTTTATATGGGAAAGGTCAGAAGATGTAGGCTTTTGAAATAGTTCTTGCCGCGTGCATTCGGTATCATTTAAAAATGCCGAAGCATTTTCCCTTTTATACTATTGGGGGCGGTCCTTCCTGTTAAGGCGTCACTTCCTGCTCCTGTCTTTGAATTCATCCTCCTTCGCACTGATGCCGCGGAAGGTTTTGGTAACTTTGGAGTCTTAGTCTTAAGTATTCTTTTTGAAAGCCTCGGCCAAGATGTCATATGTTTTATTAGGTTTGCGTTTCGGTCTGAGCCCAAATACGTACTCATTGCCAATCACAACAACGGAGTGCATTCTAACTTTCCCCCATCCCTATATTTTGATGTAATCACTTTTATTCAAATGGTATTGTACGATGAGTGCCCCTACTTAAGGTTACTGGCTAAGTTGAATAGGTAAAAAGGAGCAAAAAGTAAAGTTGACCCTCTTCTAGTAGGGAAAACTCTATAACTGTTAACTTCTGAGAAAAGCTCGGGGATTGAAAAGTATCGAACCCACTAACTCATCGAATCACCACATCTTCACAAATTGAATCCTGTTCACAGACGCCTAGAATAGGGTTTCCATCTCAGCCTCTACTACTTCAGGTTGAGCCTACGGCACAGGAAAGCTTTTCAATAGAGCATGTCGAGTATGATACCCGAGAGGGAACAACAGAACCATTGTCGACAGGCAAAGTACGTTTTTCTGAGACGATGGTCCTATTCTTTGAAAAAATTAGTAGGTCGTTTAGGTCCCATTGGAATGGCCGCAAACACCACGTTGTGCTTCGCGAACGTTTCCACATGCAGCTGTATCAAGCCGAAACGAGTACTGTGCTGAAATCGGAAGGTACAACTGCTTTTTCGGGTTTTTGAAAACCCCTTCCGGTATTTTTTGCCGAAGTTCTTGTTGTAAAATTTTTTCAAATCTTGATTGATAGTGGGTGTCTTGGGGTGCGTTCTTGTTGGTGTATGCAAGATTCGCTGCGAAGCCATCTGTACCTATTTGAACCATAGCTCTTCTGGTAATTGATGAAAACCTTCATAGAGTTTGGCTGTTTTGTGAAGATAAACTTTGAGAGAAGTGCAACATCAGCTCAACAGCGCATCAGCCACGACAAATGTTTTTTTTACTGAAAAAAGTTTGTTTGAAGTTTTTACACGAAGGGAACCCATGCCTGATAGAGTCGACCTTCGTTACAACGCCATTTGCTGGTGTGAGTCTGGCAACAACAAACAAATCAACAATCGCTGAGTTCCACGCCTAATAAATTACCCATTGCCATTTGGCTGTAATCGTTGCAAAGCCAGGTGTAATCTATGTGAATTTACTCCGGGTTGCGGTTAGAAAAATGGCATACCATTACACGGGCCATTCTGTTGATCTAGCTCATAGATTATGTGATTTGGAAAAAACAATGCCACGATTGTTCTAGAACACTCAATTTTTTTGTTTTTTCGCTTGACAATTGTCTCAAAAAACAATCGCCAAGTCGAGGAAGAGACACACAATCAAATGTCATGAACTGGGCCACCAAGTTTCTCATTAGAACCACCGGGGAGGCTCCACTTTCAAGAAAAATAAGGGCATCTCTGGAGTCGGACTTTCCACCCAAAAATTTGGGAAAGTCAGAGGCCTGTTGAGAAATGGTAAGAGCAACAGTAACGACAGAATCGAAAATTCAGTCCGGCACTCGGCTGTTACAGTATCCAGCACGTGTTAATACGCAAATTTTTACCCTTCACATATACGACGCGTCAAAAAGGGGTTTTGGGCAAGGACACGGGGGTGTGTGGTGGGGTAAGGCGGAAGGTTACTGTAAGAGCCGAGTGCCGGACTGGATTTTCTTTCTGTACAGTAACGTGGTTAAACGTTTAGGGATGTGTTGATTCGAGGTGGAAACGCTGTAGATGCAGCTATTGCTACCGTAATCTGTGAGGGCGGAGTTCGTGCTCATGCAACCGGTTTTGGAGGTGGAATGGTTATGCTTCTACATGATCGGTCAGTCATAACGATTAGTTCTTATCTTTGCTTTCATCTCTCCTTATCTTTTTTTTTATCCGGAAAAATGGGGGCTGAAAAGGAGTTTCTTGGCCAGTAACATCCCATTCTCTGTCGGAATCCCCCGAATTTAGACGACCCCACGGGTGACGCTTGCCGAATTCCCACGGCCTGCGGCAGTGGTTCCTCGGCGACTACCGTACCCCTCCACTGGGGATTCGAATCTTTACCTTCACAACCCGCGATCGCGTGCGGCGAGCGCGACACGCCGTTCGGGGAGAAGATACCAGATTCCTAACCCGTGATGTTATCGGTTGAATCTGACCTTAATGATGTTCAGGGTTAATTCTTCCTTCCATAACTATTCACTATTTTGTTCAAGTTTTTTTCTTTTTTTTCTGCAAATTTGAGAAACTGAAAGTGTGTTTGAACGATTTTTTAAAGATTTTTCTTTAACTAATTATTACGTTATGGTTTCAGAAATAAAAATGAAACGTTAGTGATCAGCGCGTATTCAGCCGCTCCGCGCACCGCCACCGAAGAAACGTTTGTTACTAATCCTGCTTTGGCAGAAATCGGTTGGTGTGTCTACTGCAGAGTTAGACATGAAATTTGTGATGGGAGAAATCGTCCGAAACCTTGACCACCCCTTTTCTGTAGGATATTCTGCAATAGCAACACCGGGCTTTTTACACGGTTTATGGACAGCGTTCAAGCGATACGGATCCGGTAGAGTGGCATGGCAGGATCTACTCATACCTACGGTACATTTATTAGAAAGAGGTTCGTTCACTCATTAGTTATGCGGCGCTTTGCCAGACTATTCGAAACACATTTCTTTTTTGAACTAATCAAAACTTCAGGAACTCCAGCAAGTGGCGATTTCGTTGATGCTATCAAAAGTCGACACAATGAAATACTCTCAGAAAAAAGCATGAAGTTCGTATTTTTGGACGATATTGCACTTTTCCAAAAGGGGATGGAAGATTGTCCTCCGGCCTTCAACGTCCCATTCCTGGAAAGCCCCTTTCCGAATTTGATTCTATTCAGAATCGTAGTGGGGTTATGAATGCGTATGTCCAGTGCAGTGATTTACGGTAGCCTGCCGTGTACGAGACAAAGAATTTAGCTTTCCTGACCCTTTAGCTTTCCTAACCTGGTACCATTTGACCGACCCCGCAGGAATGAAAGGGTTGGCTGGCCAGGGTGAGTATCGACCAGGCATTCGATCCTTCCACCCAATCCCTGATCGATAATCGATCGAATCTTACTAGTTGGCACAGCACGTCCCAACAGTTTTACAATGGTTCGTCGAACCCCCGCACTTGGGGTCATTTGAACGAAAGCCAATTAGCTACGGATATTTTTGCCTCAACAATCCTAAGTGAATGTTGGATGCGAGGCTTATCCTGCAAGAATATTAAGCCGATGTATTTGTTTTTTCTACTGCTTCTGAACGACTTCGTTTTAGCTCAGCTTATAAGCTGACCATCACTGAGGGCGAAATATTTCGTGATTTATATCATGCCGCTTTTCTTCGTCGCCTCGCTATCGCTAGGGATCCAGTGGAGTTGTTCTACAGAGGCGAAATCGCCAATCAAATCGTTCTCGAAATGAAACAACGTGGTAGGTGGTCCCATTTGGCTCTGGGGATTACTATTGAACAACTTTTTTATGTTATCGTCTTCCTTTTGATCTAATGACTACGTGGATCCCATTACGTGCAGCTCTTTATTTGTTTAATTGTTTATTTTGAAAGAAATTCGCTAAACGAAACAATATTGGCACTGATTTTGCGAAAGTTCGACATCCAATGACTGAGTTTGATCCATAAGCCCATAAGTGAAAGCCAAAAAAACCTTGATACCCCCGCTCTTTCAGAGAGCCTTCCTCAGAGAACCTTGGAAGTTAGAATCCCTGTTCCAAAGTTTTTATACAGCTTTTTTACTCAAAACTTTTTTTAAAAATTGGATCATTCTAGCATCATCTTCTTTCCACTTGTTTTCTTAAACCCTTCAGTCGAATCATATTTTCCCTTTGAGGTGGTTTGTTAACCAAAGTCGATCTGGCCAGCTATGAAACGAACATCGAAAAGCCGATTGAAGTCAGATTATCCAACGGATACACCTTGAGAGGACCTCAACCACCATCCTCCTTTACAGCTCTGAGTCTACTCGTGGACACCATGATGAGTACGTATATCCTTATCGTTGTTATCATTGCCAAGGATGGAAGTTCCGTTTGAGGCCGATTCTGGAGCGAATCGAATATCACCATGGATGCCTCCTACCTCAGAGAGCTTCTGAAGGCTCAGCAACTGGCTCTGTCGAGGCTGGAAGAATTAGGTATTCACCAAATTTCACCAGATTTGTTATTGGGCGACTCTTTTTTTTGTCGTCACTTCTTTCAAAAGCAGTGGTCCACAGCTCCGTAGCTTGTACTAGATGGTTCTTCAGGCGATCTGGAATATATGTTAAACGATCCAGTGACACAAGTCCTGCAAGCACCTCAGAACAGTACCAGCTACGATGCTTCCCATGAAGAAAAGATCGCTGACATTCGAAATTTGATGTGGAATCTGGTAAGATTTGATGATACTACTTGGCAGGTTCAATTCCATGTACGAGCAAAATCACACGTTAGGTTGAAAGGTTGTTTGCTGCTGTGCACCGTCAAGCCAGATCGCCAATTCTATTACGTTAATCCGGGGGCAAACCTTGTTTTGCCGCGTCCTGACCTAATGCCACATTGTTAGAAGAAAATCAGTTATTTTACTTGTATTAGTTATTTTTTCATCTGATTTTTGTTTCGTATTGAGTAATATTAAAGACTCCTCCGAAAGGAATGCAAGAAGTATTTGCAGCACTCATAAAGTCTGGGGAAACCCGGTGATCCTCCCACCAAAAACTTGCTTTCATTTGCACTTACTTCGTGTCGACCATAAAAACTGCTTCAGAAAGATCAAGGCTCCGTGGGTTCCCACATAAACGTTATGGATGGAGGAGGGCTTGCCGTGGCGCTAAGCTCTTCTCTCAATGAAAGGTAAGTGAGAAATTGAGTAGTCCGCGGCTTCGCTTTGAAGTAAACAGTTCCAACTCAGATTCGGTTCGGTGAGGCGATCTGTGAAAGGTGGATTTGTATGGAATAACGAAATGTCGTCATTCACTATTCCTGACAAAGAAAAAAGTGAAGATATACATGTGAATGCAGTTGAAGGAAGAAAGCGACCACGTAGTTCAATGATGCCACTGATGGTTTTTGATGAAGCTGGTCAGGTAAAACTTACCTTTTCGAATAAAATGTGTTTCAATGTGACTAGTCAAGTTATAGAAAATCTGTGCTATGAGGGGGAACGTCCGTTCCGCGCGTCCGTCGAAACTATGTCACCCCTCCCACTTCGTACGCGGCGCTCCCAATGCGATTCCGAGATGCCATTACGGTACCACCAAGTGTCAGTGGAGCGAATGATTTGCATTGGTCCGCGTTATCTTTCTTTAGGCTGACTGCCGTGGACCGAGCGCAATTCGTATGTCATGCTTACAAGTTCGACGTTTGTCAAAGACCGCGGGCTGACACGGCTGCGGCATGACCTGGTTTCGACGGACGCGCGGAACGAAGCGTATCCGTATTATGAAGAGCCTCACCGCGGTGTTAGCTCAAGAGCTGTCGCTTATAGGTCGTTCGTTTGGCTCAAAGGCTCGGAAACGATTTTTTCAGGCATTTTATCGACTAAGGGGTGTGATAGTTTAGAATATTGCACAAGAAAATGCGAAGATCAGCGTGTTCAGAGGGAAATGGGCTTCGAAAAAGTAGTGAAATTAGGGTTTGGAGAGAGTTACAGAGTTTTATCTGGACGAGCTGTCCAGATGCGTGGGTCTCCGCGTGCAGTTGGCTACAGTAAGCTAGCTGCCTACGTGCGTAATGTACATCACAGTGCGAGTGGCGCAAT